AACCAATGATATTTTTGCAATATCACGGGATGATCTACAAAAATCAGCCAATTACAATGAAAGCCCGCTATGCTGCAGTCAGTATAACAATGTTTAATTTGTGATTTCACCCCAAGTTTCTATTGGTTATCGGTAAATCGCATTTTTGATTGGACGAAATCGACAATCCTTAATAACGTAATTTGATCCCAGCCAATCAGAGGTGTAATGTAAAATTAAAAAAACAATCACTTTTCTGAAAAGTCAAAGTTTCTTCTAAGAAATCACCTTTTGCATACTAACAAAAAAAAGAAACGGCTAAAGCGGAGCAAAATCACAGTGCGAATTTTTATGACCAGATGAAACGATAATTATGATTGGCCAGATATTGTTGATTTGTTAGCCAAATACCGAAATAGCAAGACTTTAGATTTTATTATTCTAACCCAAACTCTAATGCTAATGCAAGTTTTAACCAAGCTATTGCATTATTATTTGATTTTGTTTTTAGCATTGTTTTTCTAAATCTTTTTTTTGGCTTTAAATTCTAATCTCTTCGCAGTCTTGTTTTTTTTTGACCTTATGTATGGTTTATATATATAAATATATACAGTCAAACCTCTTTATAGTCACATTTTTGGAATATAAAAAACCAGAATTATAAAGAGATGTGACTAATATAGAGATATTTTCTATATAATTATAAATGATTAGTAAAAATATATATATAATATATATTTTAAACAAACAGTTGTAAAGATATTATAGAACTGTAATATAAGTTTTGTTTAGCTATCAAAAAAACAGTTTTTTTTAACAATACTTTTTTAAAATAAATAATATATTTAATTGATTTTATTATATAATTTATATATTATATATATATGTTGTAAATAATATTTATTTTTTTATTACAAATTGTTAAATTATATAAATTCTTTATATTGTTTTTTTTTGAAAGCTGTATCTATCTTTTAAACTGTTTTCAAACAAATTTACCTGAAATTTTTAAATTATTTAATAAATATTATTATAGCACCAAATTAAATAAGTAAAAGCCTCCTAAAGTATGATTTTTTAGGATCAATAGAACCTAACCAATCATTTAATAATAAAATTTTCAGGCAAATTTATTTAGAAAACAGTAGAGAGTTCATTTTTTGTATAAAATTAATATAAATATTTAAGATTAATAATCTCAAGTTGAAGGTGTGGCAACTTAAAGTAGTAGTTAAGTTAGCATCCCCAAGTAGCAGATCTAAAATTTGAATTCTACTAAAGGTGTTTTTAGAAAAATAAACCTGTATATTGGTAACATTTATTTGACAATCAGTTAGATATATTACTTGTAATCTTGGTACTACCATCTCAAAATAGAAGCTCTTGAGTGATCTAAATCCAAGAACCAGAATATTAAAATCTGTTTAATAAGACCTGAGAAAGAAGGTAGTAAAAATTTTTGACAATACTGCAAAAAGCCAGAACTGAAGACCAAAGAATCAAACAAAAACCTAAGGCAAGAAGGGTTTACCAACCTGACCATTAGAGCCACACTAAAGAAAAAAGTCCTATGTTACAAAATTAGAAACCAAGAGAAGTAAAACTAAAAAGCACTTAAAGCCTAAATACAACAACTCATCTAGGCTAATTGGTTTAGTAATTTGAAAGAAATCAGTATAAGGACTGATTTGATGCAAGTATCAAAATTGAAACAAACCTTGTAAAAACACAAATACTAGAACTATGTGGTTTAACAGTTAATCCTAACTGCTAATAATGGTTTCAGCTGCTGCAAAAAGTATTCAAAGCCTAATCTAAAAATGCATAAAACATAGAAAAATTAGTGAGGTATGTACTACACCTCTCCCAATAATACAAAAACCCTATTGGATTATCTATAGAGTTAGAACACAAGTAATATAGCAGATGTCATGGTAATACAGAATAGAAGACATCAAAAAGTTTAAACAGGTAATCTCCTAGTTAGATTACAAATATAACATCTAGTATAAAGCCTTCAAACAAACTACTTAAATAGGCAACCAAAAATTGCACATGTTACTAACAGTACTCTCACTAACCAAGAATATATTACTCAAAACCCAATAAAAATTCACCTGCATTCGGCATTCAACAATATATAAAAAAAAATAATCCTAATGATGAAAACCTGCTATACTGGTTTACAAAACGTCAAACAAACACATGTGCAAAAAAAAAAAAAAAAGAAAAAAAGGAAAAATACTGTTAAAGCGTCCTTTGGTCACTAACAAAAATGTCGAAGGCGTAATTTTACATATAAAAATGATCTTTCAAGGCCTATAATCACGAACCCTAACCGGAACCATAGCATAAAGTCAAAAAAGCTTATCCGAATATGCCACAATGCGTCACATCAAGTTACTGTAAAGTGTCTAGACTCCTGGCGGAGTTCTGGAAACTGGAAAACAGTACCCATCCCGAAAAATTCCGAAAGACAATCTACGAACATAAAATACGAGCAAAAATTTGAGGAAAATTTCGAAATGATCGACTATGACTTAGCCGGCTAAGCCGATTTTTAAATATCGACTTAGTCAAGTCGATAAATAATGGACGACTACAAACATTACATGTGATTTTGTAAAAATAGAATTTTTTAATTCTGCAATCTGATTGGATAATCATTAGGGTGGCAAAAATAATTTACCACCTGGGACGGCACCAAGACAGCTTTTTAAATTATAATTGTTCATGGCCAAGTCCATATAAGAAATGTATAAAGGATGAAAACTTAACGACAAAAATAGTAATTCCTTTCAATCATTTCATCTCTTTCTTCATTTTCGGGTTGTAATCTTCCCCAATATTTGTTTACACAACGATCACACATTTCATATCGCTTTCTAAAAGGTTGTAAATAATATTGATCCAATTTATGTGGCTATAAATAGAATGTATATTAGGTGTGCTATATAATGATTAAATAATAATAAACTGTTCATATTTATAAAATGCTCGCCTCATATTTGAAGACCCATTCTTTTAACATATCAGTCATATAATCATCATCTAACAATTGACTATCAGGTCCGCCAATTGCTTGTATTTCCCACAAAGACGTCGATTTCTTTCGAGCAATACCATTTCCATTCTCATTTTCTGATTTTATGAATTGACGGCATTCATGTTGTTTCACAATCCCGCTGGTGCAGAATGAGGATGAAGATGTAAGCGGGTAATTTTTAGCAATGTCATGAATAGTAGGTCTGTCGAAAAACATTTTCCTAGCTCTCTTTTGCGCCCTCTTTATACTTTCAGCCGGTGCAAGAATCGGTGTAGTGTCAAGATCATACACAAATTTCTTTTTTTGATTTATATATTGAGGCATCATGGATTTTGACAAAACTTTTGCAACTCTAAAGTCATCATCGGTGTCTTCTCTGAATTTCCTTTTTCCGATTGTCTCAACTGTTGAAATCGACGTAATAATAACATTACTTTTGAAATCATCATCCTGATCTGTTCCCTCGAGTGCTGAAACTGAATATGTTTGTGAAACAATCGCTGTTGGTTTTGTTGCAACGAGGTCCTCTTTTTTTGGCACCGAGGTAAAATAATCTGTTAATTGTGTGTCTTTAACACGTACCGCAGAATTCTCTGCCATAACAGGTACAAATGTAGTAACTAGTTTTTGTTTCATCTCTTTCAATAAAGAAAGTATTTTTGTTGCAGAAAATTTTTGCTTATTGCCACATCTTTTCATATGCGTGATTTTACTTTTCGCAGTCTTGCTTTTACCCGGAAAACTTTTTAAACAACATGGGCAACTTGTAACAAGAGAGAACCACGAGCAATCATTATCAATAAACATTCTATCACCCGAAGATGAAATAGGTTTTTTTACTTGCTTATGCTGATTTGTCCTAATCCCTTTTTGCTTTTCATTCTCTTGCTTTTCAATATCGTCAAGACACCTATTTAAATGTGTTTCCCGCGTAACAATATTAAAACCTGTAAGATCTTTACCACATATAACACACAGGCAAGGCTGTGAAAGATCATCCTTAGCACGACGATTTGACTTTGTTGATGGTTTTTTGCTAGTTGGCAAAATGTTATTTTTGTTAACCGATGTTTGCTGAATAGATTGCAGATTGTTATTTTCATAAGAATAATCCGAACTGAACGAATTATCAGAACTAAATGAATCCAATTTCATAAGCTGAAAGTCAAAGCTGTTTGTGTTGGACACTTTGTTCACGTCAATTTGCTCGGGAACATTTTGTGTTGTGTTTTCTTCATTATCTGAATCAATCATAGTAATTGTTGGCACTACCTTATTACTATTATTACTAAGTTGATTTTGTACTGAATCCGACAAGGATGAATTTGTATCAATAGTTTTTTTAGGTGTTAACGCAAGCATCCGCTTCTTCTTTAGACGTCTTTCCTCGAGTGTCAATACATTTTGCTTACTGGAAAAAGCACTTTCGGTCGTAAAATATTTGCTTTTTATTTCAGGAGAAGACGAACAATCTGTGGAAAGTAACATCGCGATTTTTAATTGATCTTCATCTATTGTACTATATATAGGGGACGTCTAAAGCGGAGATAAATCACGAGATCAACCGCTAATCAGTTAGGGTCACTTTAGAATAGGGTTAGGATAGGTTTTAGGCAGTTATATATGTGCAAAATTGCCTTCCCGACATTTTTGATTAACCTATCCGAGGTAGGTTTAGACTGCCGTTTTTTTGTATTTTTCGGGTTTTTTGTTTTTATTTCTTCGCCAGCGATCATCCAAATTCTATAATTTGATTGGCAGTTAATCACGTGATCTTATCTCCGCTTTAGACGACCTCTATATATAGAAGTCGTCTAATAGAGGGTCCACCAAAATTCAGCAAATCGGCCCGAATTTGGGTCGGAATAGGTCGGAATTAATAAAATTTTTCCACAAATTTTACTAGCCTATGCACTAAGTAAAGCTGCCCAAATAATAATTTTCTA